CAACATTTTCTACTAATTCCAAATCTCTCACAATCTGCACATACACTCATAAATCTTTCAAAGCCTTCAGCATCTTACAAACACCCAATCAACAATCCGTTTAAAAATCCATAAATATACTTACAGTTCACGAAACACCGAACCCCATCTTTCAGCAAACTATCGAAACCGCCTAACACAACCACACGAAGTCCTCCCGAATCTATACTACTCAAACAAAGCGAAACCTCAATCACATGACAAATCTACGATGCAGAAAATATCACCAACTAAATAATTAAAGATATCTATGCTGCTCAAAATATCACAATCTCTATCATTGAACCAATCTATGCTGCTGAAACTATCAGCATTTCGACCAACGAACGGATCTACGCTCCCGAAACTATATCCATCTCGATCATTGACCACAACTAAGCTGCTGAAAGTATCACCATCTCAACCATAGAACGAATCCATGCTGCTCAAAGTACCACCAACTCAATCATTGAAACAATCTATGCAGCTAACAGTATCACCATCTCGATCATTGAACGCATCTATGCTGCTGAGAGTATCAGCATTTCGATAATTGAACAAACCTTTGCTGATGAAAATCTCACCATCTCAACCGTCTGACAGGTCTATGCTGCTGAAAGTTTCACCATCTCATTCGTTAGACAGATCTACGCTGCTAAAAATCTCACCATCTCGTTCGTTTGACAGATCTATGCTGCTGAAAATCTCACCATCTCATTCGTTTCACAGACCTACGCTGCTGAAATTCTCACCATCTCAGTCGTTTGACAAGTCTATGCTGCTAAAGTCTCACCATCTCAATCGCTTGACAGATCTACGCTGCTGGAATTCTCACCATCTCATTCGTTTGACAGATCTATGCTGCTAAAACTCTTACCGTCTCATTCGATTGACAGATCTACGCTGCTCAAAATCTCACCATCTCGATCGTTTGACAGATCTATGCTGCTGAAAGTCTCACCATCTCATTCGTTTCACAGATCTATCTTGCTGAAATGATGGCCGTTTCATTCGTTAGACAGATCTACGCTGCTGAAAGTCTCACCATCTCATTCGTTTGACAGATCTACGCTGCTCAAAGTCTCACCATCTCAATCGTTTCACAGATCTATGCTGCTGAAATTCTCACCATCTCATTCGTTTGACAGATCTATCTTGCTGAAATGATGGCCGCTTCATTCGTTAGACAGATCTACGCTGCTGAAAGTCTCACCATCTCATTCGTTTGACAGATCTATGCTGCTGAAAGTATCACCATCTCAGTCGTTTGACAGATCTATGCTGCTGAAAGTATCACCATCTCATTGGTTTGACAGATCTATGCTGCTGAAAGTATCACCATCTCATTCGTTTGACAGATCTATCCTGCTGAAAGTATCACCATCTCAATCGTTTGACAGATCTATGCTGCTGAAACTATCACCATCTCATTCGTTTGACAGATCTATGCTGCTGAAAGTATCATCATCTCAATAAATAAACGTATCTATGCTGCTGAAAGTATCATCATCTCATTCGTTTGACAGATCTATGCTGCTGAAAGTATCATCATCTCAATAAATAAACGTATGTATCCTGCTGAAAGTATCATCATCTCATTCGTTTGACAGATCTATTCTGCTGAAAGTATCAACATCTCAATAAATAAACGTGTCTATCCTGCTGAAAGTATAATTATCTCAATCGTTTGATAGATCTATCCTGCTGAAAGTATCATCATCTCGATGAATAAACGTATCTATGCTGCTGAAAGTATCAGCATCTCATTCGTTTGACAGATCTATCCTGCTGAAAGTATCACCATTTCAATCGTTTCACAGATCTATGCTGTTGAAAGTATCACCATCTCATTCGGTTGGCAGATCGATCCTGCTGAAAGTATCATTATCTCAATCGTTTGATAGATCTATCCTGCTGAAAGTATCATCATCTCATTCGTTTGACAGATCTATCCTGCTGAAAGTATCACCATTTCAATCGTTTCAGAGATCTATGCTGTTGAAAGTATCACCATCTCATTCGGTTGGCAGATCTATCCTGCTGAAAGTATCATTATCTCAATCGTTTGATAGATCTATCCTGCTGAAAGTATCATCATCTCATTCGTTTGACAGATCTATCCTGCTGAAAGTATGACCGTCTCAATTAATAAACGGATCTATGCTGCTGAACGTATCGTCGTCTGGAGCATTTTACAGATCTGGGCTGTTCGTAAGAGGTGCTTTCGTTATGATTTTATTGGTGTTTTCTGGTGAAAAGAAGAGGCATTTCAGTGATTTTACAGTTTTTTGCTGCTCGAGTGAATGATTATGTTAATTGTTTTGTTGAGCGGAGTCGCTTTGGAGAAGGACTATCTGAATGATTTGTAGGATTTGTGGGTTTTAAAAGAAGTATTGTATAAACGTTGGGATGGATCGATGGTTTTGGATATGTTGCAGCTTCTGGATTGTTTTGATGGAGTCCTGCTGTCGGAAGGAAAAATGGTTTTGAATGATTTAGTGAGCTATTGTGGTTGATTGTGCGTTGGGAAGAAAAAAGCTTCGGTTGAAATTTGTTGAGGTTTGTTGGATTTGATGTTTTTTTTAAATTTCGTGTGAGCTGATACGAAATGTGTTAAAGTTGAGGTAAGTTGCATGGTTTCTTGTGTGAAGTTGTATTTTTGAGTTATTAAGAAGTTTTTTATATTTCCGTTTTATAGTTATTAATTTTTGAGGGTTTCGTTTAAAAGTGTTACGGATGTTGTATTGTAAGCAACTCTGAAGAGCGTTTGTTCAAGTAGTAGGTTATCCCGTTTGGTGTAATGAAGACAGCCTATGATGAATATCGATGAGTCAGAGGAGGGGTGGGGTTGCTTCAGTATGACGTGATATTAGAAATACTTTTACTGCTGCGCTGTGAATAATAGAATTTTTATAATATTTAGTATTATTTTGGTAATTTATATTTATTTATTGTTTTTTTGTGGATTTTTTAATTGTAAACTAGTATGTGAAAATAAACATATGTACCAAACACTTAATTGAACTTTTAACTTCGCAAAATACGTTTGTAATAAGAACAAAGATTCTAAAGATTACGTTATCGGGGGATGTCGATGGTACTGGTAATTCATTTATGGCATACTTAGTATTAGCGACTTTTGTAGACGTCATAAATAATTCTTTTGAATAAAATTTAATGAAACTATTGGATAATATTCGGCTACTTAAGGCCAGTCTGTATTCAATACATTTTATTAGTTGAACTCTCAGTTGAATCTAATAATCTTTCTTACTAAACTCACTGCTGATAATTACTTCTGGTGATGATTGACAGAAATTTTACAAAGAACTTGAAAACTGTTCAAACACCGTAATGTTTGTAATTGTTTTTTCGAGCTATCTTTTCTAAACACAAATACAAATGAAATTATATGTTCTAATTACGCAGCCTTTGATTCAGATTTTACAAAACGCTTAAAATTTCATCTTGAATATTAATCCACTTGTACTGTAATAATTCGGATCAAACATCTGCTGAATCTATAGCAACAATTCATTAATATATAAACGTATTTCTCTTGCATATAAATACTGGTTTTATTTTATTTCATCTTATTTTATTTATTCAAATGTATTTGATATTAGTTGACTCAGTGTATAACGACACTTGTTGAATATATAAAGGTATTTCATTTGTTTATCAATATCAATCTTATTTTGTTTAATTTTGTTTTGTTTTATTTTGTTTTAGTTATTCGGATGTATTTGATATTAGTTGATTGATAATACAATAACACTTCTTCATTATTTAATGGTATTTCTTTTATATATAAATACTGATTTTGTTTTATTTTTATTTCATTTTGTTTTAGTTATTCTGATTTAAGAGATATTAGTTAACTGATTATATAACAGCACGTGTTCAATATATAATGGTATTTCATTTGGATATAAATACTGATTTTATTTTATTTTATTTTATTTTAGTTATTCAGATCAGTTTGA